GGCTGTCCCTGGCGAGGTCGACAGATCATGGCACTGACCTCCCGACCGTGCAGCGCCTGGCCAAGAGGAACCAGGTGAGCCCGGGCACTGCGGCGACACCCACCACCCCAGAGGGTCCCTTGGGATCACCCATCCCCTGGGTGACCATCACCGTGACCTCCCGCCCCCTGGCAGACGCTGCAGAAGGAGCTGGCGGGCCATGCCCCCCGCCTGGCTGAGGTGCTGAGCCGGGGAGAGGCGGCGGCGAGTGGCGAGGAGCCGGGCCCGGAGCTGGCGGCACAAGCACAGGAGCTGCGGGCGCTGTGGGAGACCCTGCAGGAGGAGGCGGCCGCCCGGCACCGGCGCCTGCAGGAGGCTGGAGAGGCCCAGCAGTACTACCTGGATGCCAGCGAGGCCGAGGCCTGGGTCAGCGAGCAGGAGCTCTTCATGGGACCCGAGGAGAAGCCAAAGGTGAGGAGAGGATCCGTGTGGCGCTCCATGTCGTGGGGGGTCTGTGCTGTCGTGCTGTGCTGGGACACCCCATGTCAACCTGGGCCATGCCACGCTGTGCTGTTGGACATCATCCATGTCTAACAGGACACATTGTGGTGTGTCACACTCCTATGTGCCATTCCTGTGCCATTCATTACACACTATCCACCCCATGCCATGCCATCCCATGCCATGCCATCCCATGCCATGCCCCGCTGAGCTCAGCATTGCTCCCCAAGGCATCAGATGGAGCCAGGACACCCCTGTAGGGTTGGGCAGTGGATCTGAACCCTGGTCCCTGTCCCCTGACCAAGCCTCTGTCTTCCATGCCATAGGATGAGGAGAGTGGCTTGGTGATGCTGAAGAGACACGTCCGGCAGCTGCGCTCCATCGAGGACTACGGACACACCATCAAGGAGCTGGCAGGGAGGGCACAGCAGCTGCTCTCTGCTGGCCACCCTGAGGGGTAGGTGCCACTGCTGCGTGTCCCCTGTCCCTCAGGGCGGTCCCGTGCCCTCAGTGATGCATGGGTGGGGGGTTTGGCAGGAGCTCTGGCGGTGTTGGCTGCTCTGGTTGGGCAGGGAGGTGGCTGCAGAGGGACGTGGGGAGCACAGAGCGGGTCCTTCACCCCCAAACCCCCCCGCTTGTCAACATGGGTGGGTTGGGGACATCTTTTCCCGGGTGAGAACTGGGTGTCTGTGTGCCGGGACCGCGCAGGGAGCAGATCATCCGGCTGCAGGGCCAGGTGGACAAGCACTACGCGGGGCTGAAGGAGGCGGCTGAGGAGCGCCGCCGGCGCCTGGAGAACATGTCCCACCTCTTCCAGCTGAAGCGGGAGGTGGAAGACCTGGAGCAGTGGATAGCCGAGCGCGACGTGGTCGCCTCCTCCCAGGAGATGGGGCAGGACCTGGACCACGTCACGGTGAGGGTCGCAGGGTGAGCGTGGCAGTGCCAGCGGGTGGTTTGAGGGCGTGACTTGACTCTTCTCTCCCCTCCGTGCAGCTCCTGAGGGAGAAGTTTCGGGAGTTTGCGCGGGAGACGGGCAGCGTGGGGCAGGAGCGCGTGGACCGGGTGAACCTGACCATCGAGGACCTCATCGACGCGGGGCACACCGAGGCGGCCACCATGGCCGAGTGGAAGGACGGGCTGAACGAGAGCTGGGCCGACCTGCTGGAGCTGATCGACACCCGCATGCAGCTCCTCGCCGCCTCCCACGACCTCCACAAGTACTTCTATGACGGCGCTGAGCTGCTGGCCCTCATTGCCACCCGGCGCCAGGAGCTGCCCCAGGACCTGGGCGAGGACGCCGGCACGGTGGAGGCTTTTCACCGCATGCACAGCGCCTTCGAGAGGGATCTCCAGCTGCTGGAGGCACAGGTGAGGCTCCATTGCGGACGCCAGCACTCAGCATTCCCAGTGGTCTAGTGGAAGGTGCCCCTACCCACAGCAGGAGGTTGGGCTAGATGGTCTTTAAGGTCCCTTCCACCCCAAACCATTCCACGATGCTCCGTGCAGGTGCAGCAGTTTCGGGAGATGGCGGCGCGCCTGCAGACAGCCTATGCCGGGGAGAAGGCGGCCGGAATCCAGGAGCAGGAGCAGGAGGTGTCCCGAGCGCTGCAGGAGCTGCTGGAGGCGTGCAGTGGGCGCCGGGCACGGCTGGTGGACACGGCCGACAAGCACCGCTTCTTCAGCATGGCACGGGATCTGCTCTCCTGGATGGAGAGCACCATCCGGCAGATCGAGACACAGGAGAAACCCAGGTATGGATGCGCCCGGCGGGCACCTGGGACGGGAACGGCACCGATGGCACTACTGAAGTTGGTGCCCCTCTGTCCCCAGGGATGTCTCCTCGGTGGAGCTGCTGATGAAGTACCACCAGGGAATTAGGGCCGAGGTGGATGCTCGGAGCAAGAACTTCACCACCTGCATCGAGCTGGGCAAGAAGCTGCTGCAGCGCAAGCACCAGGACTCGCCAGAGGTGAAGGAATCAGGGATGGGGGGGGCGGTGGATGGAC